AACCTCATTAGGCCATTGCTGCTAAAATTACCATCCCAGAGAGAAGGATTTTTAAAAGATGTTTGGAGTTAACTGAATAAATTGTGGACCAGGAGAGAGAAAAATCAGATAGGTACATAGGGAGATTGGTGATGACAACACACTTTTAAGAAAGGGTGAGCAAAATAATTTGCAAGAGGTGTTGGGTTGGGATTGCATAAGCCAAGTGATTAAGCCTGTCCTCTGATGAACAATAACCAAAGGACTCCTATGTGACTCTGTGCGGCAGACACCGAAACTAGCTCCTTTGGGTAATTAATGCTTATGCACAGAAATGGCAGGCTAAAATTTACAGAAGACTTGAATTAGGTGGGCTGGACCCAGGGGACCACCAAGAGCAGCAAAACTCTGAGCAGCAGTAGAGGATCAATATTCATCCCGCCCAGTGAAGTTAGGGGGGAAAGAGCCATATACAGGCAATGCCATTACAAGCACGCCTCCAACTCCAGAAGCTTAACAGGGATCCCTGCTTGACACTTTTTCATGCTACATACAGCTTTACAGGTCTGCCTCTCCGCTGACCTCAGTGAAACGATTCCTCTTTCGCCCCCAAAAAATAAGATCAGGATCAGACCTAAAGAACAACAGATGCCTGGTGACACTCTTGCACCCACCACTAGCGTCTGAATCGGTGCCTGCGGCAGGTCTCCTTGCTCTGCGCTGAAGAGCCAGAGGAGCTCCCAGATCGGAGTAGTCCCCTGCAGATCAGCAGGGCTGCTCCTCACACTTCCTCCTCTAGACACATTTCCCTTGCTGAATTAAAAAAGCTGGGGCTGAGTTAAAAAAGCTGGTCCAAGGTGGGGCTTTATGCCTTTTTTCATACACGACTGATTTATCCATCCTGTTAAAACAGAGTGGGGAAATAAATCAGTAACACTGCAGAGTACTCTGCCTCAGATGGCAAAATTCATTGGATTACACAACTGCTTGTTCCCCAGTTTATACCATACAGGACTGCACTAAATGTGTAATGAACAATCCTCATCACATTACATCTTCCCTCTGGCTGCCAGCAATGTGGGAAGCTATAGCTTTAGAAGGCCCTATTGGATCTTGGGGCCCTGCTATCGGCCTGAAACCCATCCTGCTCTTTCAAAAACATTAAACACATTAGGATGGCCGTGCTGGTTGATGCCAAAAGTCCACCTCATCCCACATCTTGTCCCTAGCCAGCACCGATGCTCGGGGAGAGAGTATAAGAACCGAGCAAACGCAGAGTGATTTTTCCTTGTAGTGCGCAGTGGTATTTCCTTCCAGCTTCCAGCTATCCACAGCTTTGAGACTTCCTAAAGAAAAGGCTGTATTTTTGTACCTAACAGCCCTCCTTGGGGCTGTTCGTTTCCCCATGCATGTCTCTAATTGGGCTTTTAATCTACTTAGGCCTAAAGTAGGTAAAAGTAGTTTCCCCATTGCCCAGGAGTCGCTTTGCCAGTTCTTCTGAGCTTTATAATGTCTCATTCTTTCCTGAGTAGGTTTTTTTCCCTTCTCCCTACCTTGCTGCATGCCAGGGCAACACTGAAGCCAGAAGCTGACAGAGGTCTCTTCTGTACAAACCTCTGAGGACATCGATTATCTTCTAGAGCTCAGAAAGGTTGCTCAGTTGTAAGGGCACTCACATGCTTCAGCAAGGTTCAATGTTTAAGCATAATACGTATGACAATATTAGGTCAGCAGCATGTAGTCATACAAAAATAATCTCTCTTGCAGCAGTCTCTCCCTCCCTATGGTCAGTAACTGATGTCTAGGAAGAAAAATAAAAAGCAAAGTAAGACTGTGGTGAAGTTTTCTTAGGGATTGCCTCTCCCAACTGGGTCTGAATGCCACATCTGTCAATGTCTCAGCTCTAGTCAACCCTCAGTCATACCCTAGAGGTGTCCAATGCACAAAATACATGGGGAAAAATGGTAAAGGGGACATTTTTTTCCATGAAAAAAAAAGATCGATTTTTCCTAGAGCACTTTAAATTTGATATGAAAGAAAACAATATCCTCTCTTGGAAACTTCCATCCATCACAAAGTAGCAGCGATTTCAGCATTCCTGGAAAACCTTACGTAGAGTGGGCTTACTTCAATATGCTCTTATCAGCCTCAGCTGCCAGCCCATCCGGTATCTCAAGCAGGGCAGCTGAAGGAGCCTTTTGATTACAGCCGCACGCACATGCACGTTACCCTGGCATAAAGGATGACCTGAACTGCCTTAGCCTCGTCCAGATGTTGGGATGCGTAAGACAGCAGCCCGCCTCAGCAGGAAAGCAACGCCCCACAGGTAGCAGAGGGATTTTTGTGCAGGGACTCCGCAACGGCAGGTTCTGGGCTCTGAGCTAGCACAGCCCCTTTTCCTGCAAAGTCAGCGTGCAAAGGTGGGGTGACTCGGTCTTCAGCGAGCACACCCCGACTTCATGCCACCCAGCACATTATCCCAGTGGAAGTGACTCTTCAAAGGCACCAGCAACGGCAGTGGTGATTCAACACCAGGTACTCACCAGAAAGAAGCCCACTGGTGAGTCGGGCACCCAGGCAGGGTTGCTGTGCTGCAGGCATGACCAGGTGAACAAGCCTCCCGGCAGTCCCCGGCATATCAGGTAATGAAGCAGAAAAGAAGCCAAGACTTTGTTTCAGTGAGGAACTGACCATGGGGAAGATGAACAGCGTCAATCTCCTTCCTCTACTTCGTGCAGGTTGCATGTGTTTTGATGGTTGAAAATACATCAGCCGTATGACTCGGGAGTCAGGCAGCATGGGAGGGCATCCCGGTATGCCACCCCGGTGTGCCTGCTCCACTCAGCTCCCAGGAAAACAAATGCAATGGTGACAGTTTACAAACCTCATCCAGAGGTTCCGGAGCAGTTTCATAGCGGGACCGCCGGCTCCGCAGGGATGCCCAGGGATCCAGGTGCTGCTCCCCACTCGGCTAACACAACCCCAGGGCAGCCATCACGGTACCGAAGGGTGGAAGGCCCCTGCACCATGGCCATCCAGGAGCCGGGCACAACCAACCTCCAGCCTCTCACACCTTGGCCCAAGTGCCCCAGCACGGGGAACAGGACCCAGGGAAGGGGTGACAAGACGCTTGGTGCCAAGAGGCAATGGGCTTCGCTCTTCAAAAAATGCCTTCTCTGGCTCCCCCGGGGCATGCGTGGTGCAACATGCGGCAGGTTAAACACCACGCCACTGGTCTCGGTGTCCCCCCAGCTGTCCTCAGCCGGGCTGTGCTCCTGCCGCTTGCCCCGCTTTCGGGGGCCAGGTACAACTAGGCAGCCCGCACCTTGGCAGCCGCAGCAAGAGGCTGCCGTGCTGCCGGGGAGGCAGAAAGCCCGCCATTGCACCCTTCCCACCCAGCCCAGCCCCCTGGGGATGGGGCAGTACAGGGGAAAGTCTGTATTTTTCAACCATGGAGGCCTTTTGCCGCTGGCCCAGGCTGGCAGCGCAGCTGCCTCCTCCCTGCCAGGTGTTGGCACGGTGCACAGCCAGGGACTGCCCTCCAGCCTCCCCGAGCGGGCAGCAGAGGCAGACACATACACAGGTTAGAATTTATTTCCAAATACCTCCTTTATATCATTCTCACATGAAATATTTCTTTCGGAATATAGCCTACACTTAGAAAACAGAAGAGAGGGGTTTTTTTATAAGGCACATCAGATTATAGACTACATAGAGACATCTCCCCCTCACTTGCGCTCATAAAATACTGGTGATTTTAAAAGTAATATTTCTAAAACCTAGACCCTGTGTAGCCCCGTGTAGAGCAGTATTCGTAAAGTTATCAGACCTCAGTTTACATACACCTAGTAAAGGGCTATAACAAGTTGTATATACATCACATTTTCAGAAACAGTCACAGCTGGCTACATTTAAAAGTAATGCTACTCCAGACTATGAAACAGGCTGTTTATAAAATATAACCTACTGCTCCCAGTACAGCGTGATACAAAGCAGTATGATATTGCAGAAGAAATTTTGTTATTTTTGCAAATGGAAGCTGCTCAGATTCAAGCCTGTCTCCTCCCCAAACCCACATTTTTGATCGACTGAGACCATTTTACAGAGAAGCAAAGCACCCAAGAGAAATCTGGCTTTATGTTTTTCTCTAAGATGACAGCATATCTGAAATCCTGTCAAAGCATTCGAGTAAGAAGTATAAAGGCTCAGATGTTAACTTCATGACCAGTAAACATTAAACCATTACCAACCAGATGCAACCAAGTTAAATGCATCCAGCTTCTGTGCTATGGAAACTGTTTTTCCAGGCTGTTCCAGTGCAGAAGCCAACACATTTTTATTGAATCAGGCCCTAGGTAAAGATTTCCATCCCATTTTCAAGTTTTCAGCGATGGAACATTACCCATTCTGCACTCGTTTCACTGTAGAGGAGGAAAAAATACTGCCTGTGGAGCCTATGCCAATACAGCCCAGAATCCATTTACATAGTGTCATTTTCTTTAATGGGCCAGGAGGTAAACTGTGGTCAGCTTTATCAACTCAAATGGCTTCCACAGTTCTTCTTTATATCAGGCATTGATTCATTTCTGATGAAAAAAAGGTTCCGGCTTTCTGTCACTGCAGTTTAGTTTAAGACTATGAAAAAGGTCACTTCGAGGCTATGGCTGAAGGAAAAAAAAAAAAAAAGAATATAATCTGATCTTGAAATATCTAGGGAATAAAAAAAAGTAGTCAGAGCCATAAAAAGGCAGACAGACAGACAGCATAAATTAAATGTCCTCTGCAGAATAAGTTAAAATACTGATTCTTGCAGAGAGTCACGTTACCCCTCAGGTCTCTCGAACTTGCCGGGGCTGGAATTAGGCTTAGTCCAGTAGGAACCAGATTCAGATTTAGTGTAGGTCACACTCAACTCTGCACTACACTGATCACTCAGCCTCAGCCAATCACGACTATGAGCTTGGACAAGATTTAACCACAAGCGACTGCCTTTAGAAGGGAAACATATGGCATTGATTCATTTCTGATGAAAAAAAGGTTCCGGCTTTCTGTCACTGCAGTTTAGTTTAAGACTATGAAAAAGGTCACTTCGAGGCTATGGCTGAAGGAAAAAAAAAAAAAAAGAATATAATCTGATCTTGAAATATCTAGGGAATAAAAAAAAGTAGTCAGAGCCATAAAAAGGCAGACAGACAGACAGCATAAATTAAATGTCCTCTGCAGAATAAGTTAAAATACTGATTCTTGCAGAGAGTCACGTTACCCCTCAGGTCTCTCGAACTTGCCGGGGCTGGAATTAGGCTTAGTCCAGTAGGAACCAGATTTAGTCAGAGGGTAGGTCACACTCAACTCTGCACTACACTGATCACTCAGCTACATTTTAGGCACATTTCCATTAATCTGTTGGACTGATCTGGGAAAAAAAAATTATCAGTTCAATTTCTAGGGTGGCCTCAGCCAATTTCACGACTATGAGCTTGGACAAGATTTAACCACAAGCGACTGCCTTTAGAAGGGAAACATTAACCTGATTGGGAACAGCATCATGAAGAGGACACAGCAGCCTCAGTTTCTAGAGTCCAGTTTGTTACAAATCTTGATCTGCCTGATTTGTTATTTGTTTAGGAGCCTTAAAAGGTAAGGAGGGGCATCCTGAAATTCTTGGCTATAGACTTAAAACCAGATGCGGTTTACATGGTGCTGCACCGATATCTGTTACATCTCTTTAAAAAAAACCCAAAACAAAACACAACAGCATTTACATTCCTTTCAGCTGAAATAGATGAACTGTCGTCATGTCTGCAAAAATACAGAGGAAATCGCCGCTGCTCGAGGTAGGTTAAAGCTTGGTCATGTTCCTCGGGCTTCCACACGACTTCCTGGGAAGGGCAGGGGAAGGACAGAAAGGACTTTCACACAGTCAGGAGGTGACAAACAAGATGTCAGCTCCATAAGGGATTAGGTTCCCTCACCCCATGCTGAAGGTATACTCATGACCTTTCCAACCATGACATTTGTGTATAGATTACACCTCTCACATACCCTTTTTAAAGCAATCCCTAAGAGCGTTGTCTTGGGAGGACATGGAGAAGAGAGGAGGAGTGGGGTTTTAAAGCTACAACTGTCAGTTAGGAGGCACGGTGTTATTTTTCCCTTTGACCGTCCATGCACAGAGCTCTACATTTCCACAGTCGCTCGCGCGTTCCTCCTGCGAAGCCCTGGCAGCAAAGGCCTCTGGTGTGCTCCTCCCCATCGCATACACCTTATAACACAAGAAGTCGAATCCTTTGGACAAATCCTTCTACCCTCAGACACGTGGCGCTCTTCTTCCTTAATGAGACTTTTAGTCATGAAACTGGATGCCAGACCTGATTTATAGCAATTATTTAACTAAGAATCCTTCTGCCACCCTCGAAAGGGCAACCGAGATATCCAGTAGCAACATATACACATACATACAGATCTACACTATACACTTGGGACGACACAGAATGAGAATTCAGCTAATATAGCCTCTATTCGATTTCCTCAGAGCAGCACTCAGGTCCTTGCAACTCCTATACAAAACAGCAGTATTTTTTCCACCAGGATTTGGAGAGGTTTTTCATCTTGTCTGGAGTCCTACACTTTGCTTTCTTTGGTTGCTGCTGGGTATCCGAGTACTGAATACCAGCCACGATGGCCGCATCAAAGACCTCCTTGAGGTTTTTCTGAGTCAAAGCAGAGCACTCGATGTAGGATGCGGCTTTTATTTCCTCAGCACAGAGCTTCGCAGCCTCCTCCGAGACCGGCTTTTCTTTGCACTTGTCCAGCTCAATGAGAACTTTGACATCCTCCCGGAGGTCCGACTGTGTCCCAACCAGGATAATGGGCGCCTTGGGGCAGTGGCATCGGATTTCGGGAACCCACTTCTCACTCACGTTCTGGAAGGACGAGGGGCTCACCACGCTGAAGCACAGCAAGAAGATGTCCGTGTTGGTGTAGCACAGAGGCCTGAGCTTGTCGAATTCATCCTGCACGGAACGAAATCGCATTAGCACCCCACGGAAAGAGCACATCAACCCTGGAGGACGCCCCGGTACGCTCCCAGTTCTAGCCTGCCGCTGACCTTTGGGGAAGCTGAGGATCACCTGCTGCTGCCATCTTGAGAGACACCTCAACATGAGCACCCAGACCACCCAACGAGATGTGTTATGAGCAGAAGTTGCCTGTACCCAGCCTTCAGGTCTCACGGCTGCTAGCCAGCAGGCACCCTGCCACTGTCAGGCATGCAGGACGAAGGTGGTGGCTTCCCCACGTAGCCAAGATTTACTGACTAATGCCACAGCTTGTTTTGAGTGCTTAATTATTTCCTTCGCTCTTCGTACACAGGCCCTCTGCCCCATTTCAGCAAAGGTGCAATGCCGCAGGAAGCAAGTTAGGGCACACGAGCGACAAAGCCAAAAGTGGAAGTATGGGAGGCAGAAGGTACTTCTACAGGTCCACCTCTCACAGGGGTGAGTCAGCGAGCCGCTCTGATGAGGAGTACCTGTGTACCTCAAAGCTGCTCTGCCAACACCTCTACCTCCAGATACAGGCAAGAGCGGAGCAGACAAGCAGCAGCAAGCGTACCTTTCCTGGAATCGGCTTTTAAACTGGTGACTACTTAACAACATCCTACAGGATACGGGAATAATTTCCCTGCCATTGTGCCCAGGGATTTAAATCTGATGGCAGCAATAACAACTCACAATGTGCAGGCTTAACATGCCAATGGCATAGAGTAAGAGCTTTACCTTTCCCTCCCACCCATGCCACATCAAACAAACTGCAAACAGGCCTTCCAGTGCTACCTTTCTTGCTTTTTTATTTCCTTTTAGTGCAAACTCCAGCAAAGCAAGGCCCTTTTTCAGCTTCAGGAACTAGCCACAAGAAAGTCAAACACCTCATGGTAACAAAGGCGTGCTGATCCTCAGCGAAGAATGCAGCAAGAAGCAAGGGTTAACTCCAGGCAGGCAGCTTTTATGCTGACAGCAGGATAAAAGCAGGGTAACACTAGCAGCCTGAACAGGTAGGATTTGCCTCAGCGGCAGTGACATTTTAATTAAAACGGACCGTGTTCTCAAAAGCTCTGAATTGAAAGTGCAAAGAACACACACAGCTGAAAACATCTCTCTGGTACCAGCAGTTTACTGCTGAATTGCAAGTCCCATGTTAATTTTTGAGATGTGAAATTTTGCTTTAAAGCCTCTGGAGGCCCAGGATACAGGGTTTAAAGCCCCCTGGAAGCCTCAGAAGTCTTGTTTCACTTGAATGAATTTCTTCCAGCAGTATCTCTGAGAGAGACAGCGATTTATAAAACACGAGTCAAGAAAGCAAGCTTCATTAGCTCTCTTGATTCTCCGATTAAGCCTCAGAGGAAACCAGGCTCTCACCGCTTGGCTGAGAGAAACCCTGCATTTACTGAGAGCCGCCGCTCTGAAGGACAGGGCCGTTTACAGAGAGGCACCTTGCCATGTAATTGCCTCTTCTTGCTACATGATAAACCTCAAATGGGCTCGATTCAATGTGTTTGAAAGCCAAACCCAGACCTTAAGGGTTTCTATCCGGATGAAATAGTGCCCTTTATATTCCAAGTACACTCCTGCAGTTTCAATGGTAGGTACATGACCTGCAGGGACTCTACACCTCTTCGGGCTGGAGGCGCTGAAATACAATTTCCCTCTGCCTGGAGTGCTTTTTTTTGCTACAGATTTCAGCAGCCATCTCACTGCAGCACTGTTTTACCGAAGTATCCAGCTAGGTATCTTTTATTTGGGACAGCTTCTGTCGGTTTAGATAACCCCTTCTTTTTTAAGGCAGTGACTCTACCCATTCCAGCTGCACTGGGGCAGCCAGAGCAAACATCTTAACCATTAACAGCAGCGAAGGCAAGAGGTGACGGGGCCTGCCCGTCCGTCCCTCCCGCAACTTCTGGTTGCATTTCCACAGGCGCTGCCTGTCCACTGGCTGTCACCCGATGGCAATTCCACCTGCCACACTCTGCACGTGAACACACACAGCCAAGGTTGTTGCGGTACCACCCCATCCCTTCAGCAGGGCAAGAAGTCACGGGACAGTTCTGCTGTTTTACTTCGTATCATTACCTGCAGAAGGCTGCTTGTAGGATTTTAGCAGCGTAGGCACACGAGAGTGCTACGCTGCTGTCTAGGACCGCACAGCCCTTCAAAGCCCTTTCCTAAGTAGGGCGCCCAGTTACAACTCATCTAAATAGGTTTGTATGTTAAGGCCACTGAGATTTTTCAGCGTGATTTTAGTGAAGGCGTAGACCCAGATCCCCAAAGCTGCGCAGGAACCTAACTCCCACTGCCTTTAAACACGAGCTAGGTAGCAAAATACTTTTGGCTACTTTTGCCTATCCAGACTCAACCCCTGGCAAGCAGTGTTGCACACTGCTCAGGGTGGTACAAGCCAGGGACTTGCAGAAAATATAAGGCAGCAAGAAATGGGTTCTTTTTATGTATCAGGCAAACTAGGAGCTGAGAGGCATCAGCCACCCTCAACCCTTCAGGACTTAGGACTACAGCAAACCTCGGCTTTGGGGCAGCAGCAGTACTTTTTAAGGCGGTGGGAATGGCAAATACGAAGTCTCCACGGACAACACCCAATAGGACTCTTTTCTCCCTTAAGCTTCTGCCCCTTCAAAAACACAGTCTCTATCTCCGGACACCTACAGCTGTGGATGTTTTGCATGCGTACATCCCAAACACCATAATTCTTAAACCCACAGTTATTTAGCAAAAATAAAGACAGTGACAACTGCTCAAAGAGAAAACCAGGTGGCCCTTGAATCCCCAATATGTTCAGCCTTTCTAGTCAGGCTAAGCAGAGCAGCAGCTTGAGCCAGCAGAGCAGCAGCCTGTGCCCAGCCCCTATACGGAGGCACAAGCACGTCCCCCACCCTTCAACAGACACCTGGCAAAGCAGTGGGTTAAGCAGCAGTGCAAATGATAGCAGTTTAATAAGATGATCAAACACTGGCAATCCTTTCAAACCCATGAAGTCATTAGCAGGACTACTTTGCGCAACAACTTCTCCCCTCCCGCTGTCACTTAAATCAAATAAGTGGCTTCACTGACCTGACCAGCTGTGTCGCAGAGCTGCAGTCTCACCGGCTTGCCATCGACAGACACGACAGCTTTGGAGAGAAAGGAGGAGGGAGGGGGAAAAGTGTGGTGAGTCCAACTTTACACGTTTTCCATTAAGGAAAAAAAAAGGAAGGAAAGAAGATTTACCATCCCTCAGCTCTTTCAGTCTTCTCTTCAATTAGTTTAGATTTAACAACTTGACAGAGCTGGAAGGGAGTCTATCGCTAACACTTGGGCACACACAAGCCCTTCAGGGCTTTCCGATTCATTTCACTGCAAGAGAGGAGGTAGGCAGTGACTGCACTAACCCTCAGCTGGCGGAGGGGAGAGCGAGCCAAGCGGTCCGGGTCCTTTTTCTGCTACAAAGGGTTTAGTTTATTATCCTCTTGTACATCTTCAACACGCCCGGGACACAAAAAGCCCCCCGCTGGACCAAAGAGAAAACCCAGAACCTCCCCCTTTGCCATGGTGAGACACGGCAAGTATTTAAGCTTGCCTTTTAGGCGTTTCCTATCTCGCCGAGAGCTGGAAGTTTTAGAGCGGAGAGTTCACAATTAAAGCCCGGCTTTGGCCGCACGGCTGGGCGCGACACCAGCTGCCAGCCTGGCCCCGCTACACGGGAGATCAGCCGGTGCTGCCGGCTGCGATGGGAGTCTGACAAACTCCGGTCCTGCCCGAGTAGGGTCCTGCCCCCAAACAAATAAATAACGAAATAACCGAAGCTGT